CAGCAGGGAGGACGACGGTGGAAGACCCCCTTCCCTGGCTGGGACCCTGGGCACCAAGGGCCCACTGAAGCCAGCCCGGCGCTCAGTCTGCCGGGGGCCTGCTCCTGGGCCAAGCCCGTCATGCTGGGGACCACGCTGGGGTTCCAGGACTGTCCGAGCTACAGCCACCGCAGGGAAGACGCAGCACTGCCTGACCAGGGCTGCCTGGTAGGTGCCTGGGCACGGCGTCCAGCAGGAAGGGGAACGGTCTGGAGACGCTTTGGGTCAGGACGATGGCCTCAAGGCCAGGAGGGCAGAGCGTGAGGGACACGGGGCATAAGGGACGGGGCTTCTACAGATGTAGGGCCTCAGAGGGCTGTGCTGGGCACTGGCTGTCACTCTGCAGGCCGGTTCAGGGAAGCCAGATGCCATCTGTGTTCCCTTCTCTCCCGGACACAGCCCACCACTCTGCCTGTTCCCACTGTGTTTCCAGCATCCCTGTGTTTTAGACTTGTACTCGAGGCTGCGGTGGCCGGGTGGCTCCTCGCCCGGACGTGCTGAGGACCCCAGCGTTTGGTGAATACGGAGGGAAGAGGGTGGGATGGGGAGAGGGTCCACTTCCGAAGGGACGTGGGCTGGGCCGTGTGGGCGAGCACTTCCTTAGCGCACTGAAGGAAGAAATGGCTGCCGACAAGGGCAGGGCCCCGGGTCCCACCAGGCATGGGGGAGGACACGGTGGGCAGCCCCAGGGCTGGGCCGGGCTGGCTCACGCTGGCACCTGCTGTTCCTGGTGTCGTACTGCCTCATGTTCTTGATGAAGTGCGTCTTCTTCAGGCCTTTGTGTCTTGGGGATCCAGATGCATGTTTGGTCCTGCGGGTGAAAAGCAGGTCACTCTTCCCCTCCTGGGAGCCTCTCTGGCCCCAGGAGAAAGGATGGGGGTGCAAGCAGCAGGCGGGGCTCCTAACCTTTGAACCGAGGCACATCCCACCGTGTCTTCCAGAAACTCGAGCGAGCAGCGCTGGGAGCCTACACGCCTTCTGTAAAGAGGACACGGCAGGGCCTCAGGGTACTGTCCAGAGGCTGCCTCATGGGCCCTCCTCCCAGAGGCCCAGCCTGCTTCTCAGGCCCCGATGGGGCCCCCAGGCCATGGGCCAGAAGCAGGTCTGCGGTGAGGTCTGAGTGTTGGGCAGGGCCACCCAAGGCCAGAAGAACCTGAGGGGGACACGGCACCGGGAAGGATGGCTGGCTGGGCCCTGGTCTACCCACCACCTCTCGGAGCTCAGCCAGGGGTCCCGGGAAGGGGGCATGGTGGGGCAGGACAGGGTCCCGCGGTGGCCATGCAGGGCTGGACATCAGACAAGCACACGTCCTGCCGACCCTCTCCCGCCCACCTCAGCGTGTAGTGCTGCCCCTGCCCAGGACACCTAGAAGCCTCTCCCCCTTGTCTGGGCCGCCCTCCCTGCACCAGCCCCCGCCCCCGGCCTCATGGCCCTGGCAGGGGCTGTTCCCTCGGTCTGGAACCTTCTTTCTCCAGATCTTCCCGTGGCTACGTCCCCCTTGACTTGAGGCTCAGTTCACACGTGGCCCTCCCCCTCCCCAGGGCAGCAGCAGTCCTGGTATGCACGTCAGGGAGGTGTCTGCTTGGGCCTGTCGCCTGGCGGAAGCACAGTGGGCGCGCTGAGCTTGTGGTGCTCCCCCGCCCTTGCCTCCTGCCTCTCAGCTCACCCCTGGGAGCATAAAGGAGCCAGAAACCCATCAACCCGCAGCCCCACCTCAGCACCGTCCAGGCCTGGCGGCAAGAACTCTTTCCAGAGCAAAGCCCTGCCCAGGGACAGGGAGGAAAGCACTCCCACGCAGAGGGGAGTCTGAACCCAGACGTGTGGCTGCGTGGTCAGGAGGCCCCCTGGGCTGGGGAGATGGCCTCAGTGACTCCTTGGGAGGGGACACAAATGGCCTTAGGTCAGGCCTGAGGCTGAAGGCCAGAGACCCCTAGATGTGCTGGGTGGTCGGGGAGGAGTGTGTCCCGGTGACCACAAAAGGGAACAAAAGACTGGCTGCCCGATGACAGTCGGGGGCTCCCCCCAGCCCTCTGAGGTGCTGATAGCGCTGGGGTTGTCCCAGAGACAAACCGGGTGTTTGGTCTGGTTTAAAACCATCCCAGGAGGGGGCCTTACCAGCACCCAGCACACAGGGAGCTCGGGAGGGCAGCTTCCCACCTGGCACTGGGCCCAGAAACCCTGCGCAGGCTGCACCCTCAGGTCAAGATCACACACCCAGGTTCTTGCCACCAAGGCCACCAGCAGGGGCCGCTCAGGACAAAGCCAAGAAGGCGGCTCCACTCCTCCTGGAGCTCAGGTTGCCGTGGTCCACGAGATGGAGGAACACGGGTCTCACACTCAGCCTGGGCTGGGCAGGTGCCCAGGGCCCAGGTGTCAACAGTAGCCATTTCCTAAGAGGCTGAGCCTCGCGGCTGAGCCGCTCCCGGAAGCTGCAGCCTGCCCAGATGCCGCCTTTCTTGCAGCATCTCACGGGACCCTCCCCCCGGCAGGACCCCTGGCGTCCAGACGACGCCTGGCACAGTCAGGCCATCTCTCCCAGGTCAGGCCAGGTGGGAAGGGGGCAGCAGGAGAGGCGTGTCAGGCAGACACCCAGCAACCAAGGAGGCCTGGGGTAGGGGCTGGTGAGCACCGGCCCCACGGTGGGCGATGAGGCAGGCCCTGTCCTGAGAGGGCGCCCCACTGCAGGTGGACGTGCAGGACCCGTGCCGGGAAGTGAAGCCGGCCTGGTGGAGACGGGAACGCCCCAGACAGGTGTGCGTGTCCTGCCCCGCGGGGCTGGGCTCAGAGGCCCGGGGCAGCAGCCCCGCGTGGCTTTCTCAGGCTTATTGCTTCCTCAGGTAATTTCCCAGGTGAGGCCCGAGGGCTCCTGCACGCCTGGGACCTCGCTTACACGGCCCAGAGGCCAGCGGCAGTCTCCACGGAGGCAGCCATGGGCCCTTGGGGGCCAGCCCGGGGCACAATGAGCACCCACACCCGCCGGCTGCCTGAGCTCTGGCCCAGCGCACTCCCGGAGACCCTCTCATCCCACCGGGCCTCAACACCTGACCCCAGCTGGTTTCGTGCCTCTGTCTGTGGCTTGCTTCTACTCTTCCTTCTCTGTAAGCATTTCATACCTAAACTCAATCCTCACAGCCCTCAGCGCACAGCTGGTGAAACTGAGGCACAGAGCTGGCGGGAGTTAGGGGCTGGGAGCTGCGCCCTGGCCCCCGGCGCTGCCTCTGCCCCTGGATTCTGCCACCCGCCCCCGTGCTGCCCTCCTGACCGTGTTGGGGGAGCTGGAATCAAGGCTGCTCCGTGCTCTCAGGGCTCCTTTCCTGAACTCGGCCTGTGTCCGTGTGATGCTATTTGGGTTTGGGTCCAGAGACAGGCACAACGCTGACGAGGGTACCCTGAATTCTGAGCACAGACCAGGCTGGCCAAGTGAGGGGCTGTTGCTTTTGAGCCCCCCACTTCCCACCTCCCACCCCAGAGGAGCTTGCCCCGTGGCCCGAGGGAGGCTGAGAGCCCCGCTGGGATGGGGACCCTCTGGGGGCCGCCAGGCAGCTGCGGGCTCCCTCGTCCCAGGACGGGGACTGGCGCCTGGCCCCTTCCTTAGGCTGCGCCCTTTCCAAACTGACTGCTGGCTGGTCGACCAAGGAGGCAGCCTCTCAGGAGTCCTGAGGCAGGACCTCCACGGTTCCCACGTGGCCCTGGGAGGACGGCACCCCTAAGCACTCGTCACTCTAGAAACGGCTCAGAATCCCAATGCTGACCACATGCCGACCCGGGCCTATAGGCACGACAGGAACGTTCCAGCAGCTCTACCCGAAACGACCCCCACTGGGAGCAATCCTGCCGTGGACCCCATTGGGAGCAGGCCCCTGGAAGCGGTGTGTGCAGGGCTCGGCTGAGGACCTGAGGGGGGACAGGTGGTGCCGCACCCCGGGTCCTGCTGGTCAGTGGTCAGGATGTGCGCGCCTCTCCCTGTATGCCCGTTACTCCTCTGTTTAAAAAGTGCTACAAACAAACTACAAAGAACAAAGTCTGGGCTCCTGCCGCCTCAGCTAACACCCTCCCACTCCCCGACGTCTGGGCAAATGCAAGTCCCAGGGAGCCAGGAGGCCCTCGCGGCTAAGCCATCCAAGGCACATGGGATGGTGTCCCCCACATGGCGGCGACCGGCCCGAGGCTGCCTGCGCTGGGCTCTGTAGGGAAGACAGGGTCGGGGGCACAGGGGAGGCTGTCACGATGGCACAGGCAACCACCCCACTGGCTCACTTTCACAGCTGCCCCTTTACAAACCGGTGACCCATACTTGCCTTCCCCCAGAGACAGGCAGGAAGAGAAATCGCCACTTTTTAGACGTTGTTTCCACTGTCTGATAAACTCCTTCACTTTGTAACTGAAAAAACGGCCCAGCTGAGAAGAGAAGGGCTCCTGCCTAGTTGGGAGACCACTCAGTCCGAGCCAGGGGCCACGTGCAGGGGCTGCTGTACGTAGGCTCAGACGGTCTGAGAACGGGCAGGCCGCTGACAGGGCCAGCACGACAACACTGAACCCTCCCCTGCCAGGAGAGTGTGGGCAGGGGTCTTGTCCGGCCGGCCCACGACTCCACCCCGGCCTGAGCACGGGGCCTGGCACATCACAGGCCGTCATGCATCCTTGTTGAGTGAGTGGGTCGTCCTAGGTACCCTGTCTCACCAAGTCCCTGCCAGCTTCCCCGGGTGACAGGACCCACATGCGGTCCTGGGCCGGCCTCCATCTCAGCAAGGCCTCTGGACCCCCTCTAGGCTCCAACCTCGGTGACCACCTCCAGCCGTTTTCCAGCTGGAGAGCAAGAAACCCCCAAATCAGTGATGTGAACAGACTGCCAGACACTCCACTGAAATCGCTTTAATTTGGACAGGTGCTCGGCAGCCTCCAGAGCGCTAGGCGGCTCCTGGCTAAGACGGCCGCTGAAGTCCAGGCGCTTGCTCGGAGCCAGCCCTGCGCAAGCCCTTCAGAATCGCAGGGGTTTCTGCTCCCAGCTAACCCGGCCGCGCCCCCGGCTCACCTTCTCCCTTGTCAGTGCCCTGGACACTAATGACGACTGCTGGGGGTCGAACAGTGTCCCCAAAATATGTGAAGTCCTCACCCCTGTCAGCTGTGACCACGAGCACAGCTGCAACAGGGTCTTCACAGGTGTGACCAAGTTAAGGCGAAGCTGTTAGACTGGGCCCTGACCCGATGACCAGCTGGGTCAGGGTGTCCTTACAAGCAGAAACGCCAGGTGAAGACAGAGACACCAAGGAGAAGCTGTGTGAGGACGGAGTCAGAGACTGCAGGGTTGTGGCCACAAGCCCAGGACACCTGGGGGACCCTTACCCCCCGAGCCCTCCCAGGAGCAAGGCTCTGCCCACGCCCTGACTCAGGCTGTAACTTCCAGGACTGTGAGAGGAAACCCTGCTGCTGCCTGAAGCCTCCAAGCCCCCGCTGGAGAGAGGAGGGCCAACATGACAGAGGAGGGCGCAGCGGTCTGGCGGGGCAGGCAGAGGACCTGCAAGCCTGTGTCTGACCCATCCGGAGAAGCCCAGAAACCGGGTAAATGCTAGGTGACCGTGGTGTCGAAATGAAAGCAAAGTTCTAGGGAGGAAAGTAAGGATTCTGATGAGTCACTCACTGGCTTAGCAGCAACAGCCGCACCAGACTGTGCCCTGAGCATGAAACACAAACTCCCCACCGTGGGCTGAGCTGTGAGCACACCCTGGGCAACCGGGATGTAACGCAAGTCCTCACTGCCCGGGCCGGGCCACCGCCACCCTCGCTGAGCCCTGGCCACCCAGCAGACCTCACAACAGCCCCTCCGGCAGGTAGTACCTAACACAAACCCATCTCACAGAGAAGCAAACTGAGGCTCAGAGAGGCTGTGCCACCTGCTCTGAGTCACAGAGCTCCTGAGAGGTGGAGCTGGAATTCCAACCAGGTCTGTCCTCAAAGCCTGGGTCAGACCACCACACTCATGACACAGACTTTGGGAAAGGACCCTCAGGATTCTCTCCATTCCCCAGAACAACTTACCCTCGAAGTCCACAGCCTATAGCTAGCAGCCCCCTTTGCTACTCAGCAGCGACTACCTGCCACCCTGCCTCTGGGCCCAGGGAGCACAGAGAGAAACAGACAGTGCCCACCCCAGGAGTCTGCCATCTGTCAGGGGAGGGTCAGTGACTCTCAGACCCAAGGGCTGGGCCCTGTGCTCGGCAGCAGAAACCGAGGAGGGACAGAGTCTGGGCGGGCAGGTGCGGCCCTGCGACATCTGAACGGGGATTTGAAGGCCAAGTGGGAGGGAGGGGCAGGAGAGGGCTCCTTGTGAAGGCCAGGCCGGGGGAGGAGGGACACAGGGACCTTGGAGGGTGCAGCGGGAACACCGGAGGGCGCCTGACTTGTGCCACATCCCAGCCTGTCCTGCGCCCCCAGAGCTTGGGCCGCGCACACACTCTTTGGGAGCAGCGCAAGCGCCATCAAGCCCCAGCACCAGGCAGGGCTCCTGGTTGCAGGCGCTTCAGTGCATCCTCCCATTCGAACAGCTTCGTGGGCCAGGCTGCTGGCCTGTCTGGTTCACAGGGAGGGCCTGGCCCCCAACCAGGGTGCCCAATTTGTTTGCTGAATGACACACGGCCTGCCCAGCACCACACACGGGGCTGTGGGACCGGGAGAGGAGGGCACAGCGCAGGCCTGGCTGTAGGTGAGCGGGACCCTCGAGGCCTCACACAGTGGACGTCCCTGCCACTCTGCCCTGGCGTGTCGGAATGACTCGAATGGGACCTGGCGTGAAGGGAGGACTGTTCTCGGGCTGATGGCTGCCAGCAGACAGGACCACTTCGTTGGAGAGTCTGCCGGCTGAGGAAAGCAGGCTTTGGGGCAGGGGGCACAGACTAGAGGGGCAGAGCTCAGGGGTGGGGGTGGCCCTGAGATGGGCTGAGGCGTTCCTAGAAATGAAATCAGGGCAGGGGGAGTGCCTGCGATCTGGGATGTGACAGGCCCAGGGGCCCTGAGCTCAGAGTGGACAAAGGAGGCAGGGGTAATGGGGGGCCTCCAGTGACCAGTAGCTGTGGGATGGGGGGCTGGGAGGTCTGGCCTGGTGTGGGAGACTCTGGGGCTAGATGTCACAGTACAGGGAAGATCCCTGGCCCACATGGAGGGGGTCACCCAGTTTACAGAACGAAGGGGAACCCAGAGGGGGTGTTTGTGAGTCCCTGTGTCAGCGGGACTGGTAACAGTGGGCTGGGGAGGGGCGTGTGTCTGGAGCTGACAGGGCTCTGTGTCTGGGGGCTGATAAGGGCTGAGGGAACCCCAGACTCATGTTCAGGGGACTGACAAGATTGAGAGGGCCCTGACCCCGTACTCAGGGGTGGCAGAATTAAGGGGACCATGACCCTTAAGTCTGGGGACTCACGGGGCCCGAGGAAACCCTAACATCCGTGTCCAGGGAGTTGACAGCTTGCAGATGACTCCTGACTCTGACATCTTAGGATGGTGGGGCCCAGTCAAGACTCTCTTCTGGGGCTGGCAAGGCACAGGACACCCCAACCCTCTGTCCCTCACTGACAGGGCCCAGGACACCCCAACTGGTGTCTGGGGCTCACAGGGGATCAGGGTCGCCTCCCGGTCTCCAAGTCCTACGCTGACAGGTCACTCAAACCCTGTGGCACGAGCTGATCCTGATCTTCTGTAGGTCATCTCAACCCCACATTATGAGCTGAGCCAGCCCAGGGCCACCTGCCACCCTGCTCACTGTGCTGATGGCCCCCAGGTCACCCCGACCCTGTGTCCCGGGCTGTCAGGCCCCCAGGCCACCTCAACTCCTGCCTGGGCGACTCCACTGCCCCCAACCCTGAGCCCTGGGTGATTCCGCCAGGTGACCCCGACCCCGCGGTGACCCAGCCCCAGGCCACCCCGCCGCCCCCCAGGCCCCAGGTGACCCGGGCCACACTCACCTCTGGCGCTGCCCGTCCAAACCCAGGCTCAGGCCGAGGCCCAAGCCGGCGGGCGCGGGCGCAGGGCTGAGCAGGCCCTGCGGCGCCGAGGCCCGGCCCGCGGGTCCGGGCAGGGGCAGGCCGGCGGGGGGCGCGGGCGGCGGCGGCGGCGGTGGCGGCGGCGGCGCGGGCGGCTCGCGGGCCTCGGCGAGCGGCGGCGGCGGCGGGGGCTTCTCGCCGCCCGGGTCCAGGCTCGGGGGCCGCCCGTCCAGGGAGATGTTGTTGAGAAAGAAGAGCGCGGCCTGGCGGCGCCGCGAATCCCCTCGCCGCCGCAGCGCCTGCGGCGCGGCCCGGGCAGCGGGGCCGGGGGACTGGCCCGTAGACCCCCCCGC